AATTCAGATATTATTTAATGTTTTTTTTTTTGTATTTATGTGTATTTTTTTGTGTACCCCTCCCGTACCCCTGCCCGAGTGACGCCTACAACGCATAGCTAGCCGAATACAGTTTATTTTTTATTTTTTTTAACTCGTGATATCTTTTGAATGGATTGTCAGAATCAAATGATTCAAAAAGTAATATAAAGATATTGAAGCAGTCTTAAATAATACATCATTTATTTTGATAAAGGTTAATACCAAGGTATAAATTAAAGAGCTTTTTGTAGCGGTGGTATTTTAATTTCTTTTTTTCAATTAAAAACGCTTATTGTGACATGACTATAATAGTCAGAGATATGCTGCCGCTGATTTTTTGTAGATATTGGTGTGTTCTAAAAAAATGTAGTATATCATTTTGTTCTATCATCAATAGTTTTCGCAGCGCACGCGATGTAAGGTAGTTTTTTGATTTTTTTTCACACCTTGGATTACGTTATCGTAATTTTAGTAAGAATGCCTAATTTTTTTGAAAATGAAATATAGCCTATGCCACTCGGGAATGATATAGCTTGCCAACAGTGAAAGAATTTTTCAAATCTGCCAAGTAGTTTCGGAGCCTATTCAATTCATACAAACAAACAAACAAACAAAAAATCAAACCTTTCCTCTTTATAATATTTGTATAGATGTATAGATAAAAGGAGAAACTGACTGACTGACATATCAACGCACAGCCTAAACGGCTAAACGTCCCTTCCAAATATCATGTGCCTGACTTGATATATAGAAGGAACGTAGCTTAGGTACCGTAGAGGTGCACTAAGAAAGAAATTCCCCAAATTCGCACGGGAACAAGCGGAAAAATCTATTTGTATTAAAAACTTCAACCGCTTAAGTTAGACGCTTGAAATTTGGCATGCATATTGGATATTGCAATAATTATTAAATAATTTGACTGCACGGTTGGTACGATGGCTGGGCAACTGGCTGCCGTGCAACGTGTCGCGGATTCGATTCCCGCATGCAACAACTCTTTGTGTGATCCACAAATTGTTGTTCCAGAGTTTGAAAACGCACCCATGACGCAGGAGAAAATCCTAGTGTTGGGGCAACGTTTTTTGAAAAGAAACAAAAATACACGTGCGGGACAACAATGTTTAAAAAATAACTTTTACATGCGTGCGAAGCCGCGGGCGGAAGCTAGTAATATATAATGCGATACCAGTTTTTCATACACGCTGTATCTGTAAGCCTGTACTAGACGAATTGCGATTTGTTCTCGGCGAAGATGATTTCACTTTGAATTCAAATTGTCATTATTATTGTGAGTTAATAATGTTATTAAGTTCAGATAAGGGATCGATAATAAATGATAGCATTTATTATCGATCCCTTTTTGCATAGTTGGCTTCATATACTGATATCATAATATCACGTAAACAGGAATAACTTTCATTTCATTACACATTAATTAATTTTTAACGGGCCTTCCATTCTTACAAATAACTATATAACTAGTAATTAAAAAAAATTGTTTACTTTATTACTATATTTCATTGAAACTATGTGTGAGATACACATCAATCGACCGATTACACGATTGAATTAATTGGTAAACGGATTATTGAACTGAATCATTAAATCATAATGTGATTCAATTTAGTTAGATACATTTTTAATTATCTTGATGTAAGTATTTATTGTGTAGTAGAATGAAATTCACTAACTAAACAAAATGATATTGTATAGTTACAAAATTATTAACATTAAAATTTTTTTGAATGGCCACTTACATATTGAAAATAAAAAATAATAATGATTGAGTCAGTTGGCTGCGCGATATCGCCGCGACGCGCACGCGGCTCTTGAATAAGAGTCCCGTTGTGACTTGAAACTAGTAGAGGTTTTGCTCAGTTTATGCACGAGAGTAAGTTGTTATTAAGAATTATTACATACAAGAAAATCGTGTTAGTTACACTATTTATAACTCAAGAACGGCTGAACCGATTTGGCTGATAAGTGGCATGGAGGAAGCGGTAGCTAAGAACTGGAAGAGTTATAGGATAGGGTAGAGTAGGTAGAGTAAGAGCCGCGAAGCCGCGGGTAAGAGCTAGCTTTCAATGTAATATTAACATTAAGTATACTTATTAACAAAAAGGTATATTCAACAGCTATTTCATATTTTACAAAAAATGGATTCAGCGCTTTTATGTCTTTATTATGAGATTGTTAGTCTGACAGTGCTACTGCTGTTAGCTTCTTTTCTTTTACAACTACCAGTGGGCGTACTATGCACCCTCGTTGTAAAAAGAATTCTCAATTACTGGGAGAGGGACTAAATAAGTATGTTACTAGACGCAAAAAAAACGTGTCGACACAACGCAGTTTCGTACAAACATTATCTAAGAAACCTATCGATAAAAAAAAAGTATGGATTAACTATTTCTCAAGCTTAGTCTCAAGTCTCATCTTCGTATTGGATTGTTTTATTGATAGCCTTAAATCATTCATTTATCAATTGTACAACTGGACACCAAGTTACCAACATACCTTATAGGTACCTATATAGATCAATTACTACTTTGCCATACAATGTCATCAGACCATGATCTAAGTAAAGTGAACTACGAAGTTAATTAGGAAGCTATTATAATAATTAAACTTTAATTAACTGTCACCTTAATTAACTCATAATGTCTATACACACTATTTTGGTCACACGTGATTTTGGTTGAACAGAATACGTCTATTTTTCCATCCTTCTCTTCAGGTAGGTATCGTAAAAGGCGTCAAAGAAAAATTAGATTAAGAACGATAATAGACAGATATTATTTATCTATTATCGATCTTTATCCATATTTTTCTTAGTCTGCTTATCATCATATTACTACTCCGTAGTGTGGCAAAAAAGAATGTAAGACTACTGATGAATAAAACCACCCGTTCCTTCTCTTACGATTTTGGTGAGGGGAAAATCATCCGATGACTTCTCCCACCCTGGGTGCGGCGGGAGGGAGTGTCAAACTCTTACTGACTAAAAACCCCCCTGTTGTTTCTATTGTTCTGCCGTGTTCTGGGCCGAGGCCGCGATGCCTCATTGAGCTTGCCCCGCAACCTCGGTTGAACAACAGCACTATAGGGCCCCGTCTGTGATGGTCTACTGGCTCATTGAGGCGCGCGGTACTCCATGCGCCTTGCGCTCGGGTCTGGGTCTGGTTCTGGTGAGGCGGCGAGTTAGGTACACTTACTCGCCGTCCGCATACCCGCGACGATTTAGGGTTGCAGTACATTTTTACGCTTGTTTTAAGCTGTCATCTCCCACTAGCAATAAACGCGGAGGTTAAGCATAATATCGTCGTTCATATTTCCATTAGTTCAAGTCAAAAATAAAAAGTTTAACGGAGAGAAAAAAAATGAGTGCTGAAAAAAATCTTGTATGGGAACAAAATTATTTTAACGAATGCTTCTTAGCTACTGCGTGGTCATTTTTCGGTCGTGTTCAAAATTAAAATCAAAGAGTCAGTCAAAACTGTGTTATAATTATATTTTTTTGACATTGTACAAAATGCAATATGTACTACGATATATTTCATTTGCGAGTTTTATGTGCAAGAGTTACTAAGTCTATCAATGATTCTAATGTATTGATTTGTCAATTTGTTTTCCAAAATAAAACTGCTATCTTTAACAATGATATTAAATAAATAATTTTAATTAATGTCATTGTTAAAGATTGCAGTTTGTTGTCTTACTTTTCGTGATGATAATTATTCGTCATATAAAGACAAACGATTTATATTCTACGTAATAGAACTTTAACTGAAACTCAAATTATATAAATTCATTCATATAATAGATTTGTATGGGGTCGTCCAGTAAGAATACAAATAATTGCGTAACGAATTGTCATTGTCAAGTCGTATATAAAAGTTTCAACAACATGTTTATTTTAGAGATAATATTTTATGAAACATTGCAAAAATCATATTTACTGTCCTATGATAAACACTGGCAACGCCAAAGGAGTAACAAATTTATTACCGACTTTTTAAAAAAGGAACACTTTTTTTTAAGATTTGACGGAAAGGATTAAGTTCAGCCATATTTATGTAATATGTACATTTCTAGTTATGTCTTACAATGATAATAGAAATCGCCAATGCATTTATATAATACTAAAATAGTTAACTATAATTAAAAAACTATAATTAAAATAACAGTTACCTATAACTTTTATAGTTAACTATAAAAGTTATAGGTAACTGTTACACTCCCATTGTATAAAATCTGGCGTTGTTCCTCCGGTTAAAAACTGAAAACAGTTTGGTTTTCTTAAAAGTTTATCATTTATATTATATAATTTTTAACTAGTACCTATTATAAAATTAAATATGTAGCATTCTTCTCGGCTAATTAAATGAGTATTTCTACATTAGGTTTTTTTTTTCTTAACATCATGTAAGTGTGAGTATTTCAATTAAATATTATAATTTTAATTCAGTATTCACATTTTAAGGGCCAATTATACTATTTTGTAAAAATAAAATATATTAATCAAATAGTTTGTGTTTATAAGAGTTATTTAAATTAATAGGTACACAATAATTTCAAACCATCATTAAAATATAATATTTGAAAACGACAAATTAAAGAAGTAGTTTTCGTTTTCGTTTTATGTAATTTATTATTTGTAATAATCAAGAATATACCTAATTAATTTGATTAATGAATAAAATTTAAATTCTAAAATAATTTACGATTATAAGATACGTGAAAAACCTAGTTTTATTATTACTTCGTTGATAAAAAAATCTTTTTGAACAAGGTGTAACTAATTATTCCTTAAATCTTTATATTATAGTACTATAAAACCCTTCAACAAAAAACGGTTCATATTAACTTTTTTAAATAAAAAAAAAAGTTTTTTTATTACGATTTGTAAAATATCAAAACTATAAAATTTTTATAGCACTACATAAATATAAAAACAGAAAAAAATAGTATCCAAGACTTACCGAGTCAGTGAGACGTGTGTCGAGCGCGTAAAAAGCGAGTAAGAGCGACCGCGGTATTTGCTGCCAACGTGCAGAGCGCGGGACGGCGTCGGAGCGACTGCGGTGCGGTGCCTGGTGGCCGCTGGGCGGGCGTCAGCAACGACACGCCCCACACCCAGAAATAAGAAAACTCCACTTCCCTTCCATCTAGAAACTTCTAAGAATTTTAAATTTATAAAATTCATACATATATGGTCAAGACTTTTTTGTACTTTTTTACCTAGATTCAGGTGACTCAGCTATAATCGTAAAACCACGAAGATTCATCGTAAGTTTCTCACACCACATATCACTGAAAAATAAGCTATATTAGTCCTAAATGCTACAGTACAAAAATCTAGAAATTTCTTTGAAGAAAAACATTCTGAATCTGGTACCTTCGGAATTCAAATGAACACAAGTACCTACACGTCTAAATATCTTCACATAATAGATATTTTATTCAAATACGTTTTATTTATTTGTGTAAAAAATTAGTTTTTATTCTCAAATGAAAAGAGTGTGACAGAAAATTGTTAGAGAAGAGTGAACTGGGCGGAGCGTGCGACCACTCCCAGCCGCTGAAAATCAGGATTACACGCGAAAACAAATTGATCCAAAGAGGATTTGCTTTTTTTACTTTTTTCCACATCTCGCTGCGCAAACCGCCATGGTTGTACTTAAACGAAACGAGAGGGCAACATAAAACACGTAAAAAGTTAAACACGGTAGGTACACATATAGACAAGTACTTGTACCTATACACATAATATGTGTATTATTGTGTCCACACGGCTTTTATTCCCATAAACATATTTTATTTTAAATAGTACATATCTCTTTGTTTCTATCTAGTCTTACTCTTAAATTCTTATTTTCAATATTAATCGTTTGATAATTGTCTCTTCAGTTAAGTCGTCGTGTCTCCCATGGACAGTATTTATAATCTACAATTAAAAATAAAAAAGTTTTTTTAAAAGCTGTGTAATGTGTCAGTTCCCTTTTTACTCCTTCAACTTTTTTAGACCTTAGTTCATATGACAGATTTGAAATTATTGTTGGAACATTGGTTTCTCGATTCGAATCGGTTTGACCCTGTGATATTGCACTTGATGTATGCAGCCATTTAGCTTGTTAGCAGTTAAGCCCATTAAGTAGTAAGTAAATTAATATCAATGAAATACTTCGTACCTGAGAGAATTAATAGCGCTACTTACAAAAAATAACACCGTGTTAAATGTATATTTTCGTGGTAAATTACTACAACGAAAACACTAATAATATCACATTACTAAACCATCGTATCCACTTTCGTCAATTTTATTTAGGTAATATTGATATTATTATATTTTAAAAGTTATAGAAGCACTTAAAATAGTTATAATATCATTCAACGTTTTGAAAGTGCAGTGCTACGCCATTGCTACGCGCTCAAGCATAACTACACCACGATATTGCAGATAATTTAATTATGAAATCTTTATTGGAAATTCATAGTTTAATCAAGTGGAATAAAATAGAAACATTTTCTATATCTTATAATATGATGATACTACTTATATTACTTTACTAGACAAAGTACCTACGCAAATAATCTAAAATAACAGTGCTAAGAATGTCATCAACATTCTTACCAGCTAGTTGAACGACAATGATTTTTATAAAACCGTGGTAATTTATTACGCCACTAGCTTAAGAGCGGGCAATAAAAATGAGAAATTATTTTTAATAATATTGCCGGTGAGCGCCCCCTACTAGTGACGGGGCACAATATTTTGGCGGGGCTAATACCGCCCCTTATTACGGCATTCTTTACTCGCTACTACCTAATAATAGTGGCGAGACTTACTTTACGAGTTTTGGGAATCTTTATGTCAGATTAAACTGTCCGACCTTTCATAAATGGCCTCTTCGTAATGTGTAATTAATAATTATTTTAAGTAATTTGTTTTATGATGAAAATATTTAAGTGTTGAAGTTCTGTTATAAATAAAGCATCAACTTTGCGTTACTTACGAAGAAATTTCAAACTGGCAAGTAATATTTTGATGGTATTGTGCCCTAAATATACCTATCTATACATCTATAAAAATAATTTTCACAGTAATCAATAAAACCATATACTGAAACTAATACGGTAGGTGCACATCACTAATAACTCGGGTACTAATCAAAGGGTGTTATTATTACAACGATTGGATACACCCTGCCATTGCACCGGCAACTGGTTTTAATTTATGCGCAGTGTACACTGGGAAACTCAATAAGCCGCAAGGAACATGCGGTAATGTTAATTGAGATCAAGATCATGTAAGGACCCGGTAATGGTACATAGTGGTCATACACATCCTGTGGCAATGACGTTACATTTGTGGTCTAATCACTACTGCAGCCAAGACATCGCAGTCACCGCAATTGCAACGGCGGTTACCCTCGACAAGCATCGATGGCTCCTTATTAAACATGCTTGTAAAATGTACAAACAAAACATTGACATAAATAAAAATATGGTAACTTCCACCGTTAATCGTGGATGTGACATGGTGATACAATAGGGGTGTCAGCATACGAGGTAATTTCTGTATAAGAGACATATTTTCCGGAGGGAGGACAATCCGGGCTCGCTGTGACGAGGCTTGGAATGCAACACGATTATGAAACGCCATTTGTCAAGTTTTTATTGGGCACCCTTGAGTCGCGTCTATTGTGGTGAACCTAACGTACCCTCCCCGCGCCGGACCCTCGTCCTCGATGTTAATTCATAATTTTTATAACTTGCTAACATTTTGCAAATTATAAGGGCACCACAGCAAACTGAGATTACGCTTTAATTAAATTTCATATCATTTATTATTACTGTACAGCAGTTATAAAAAGTCAAAATGTATCTATTAATTCAGAATTTGTGAATAGATACAAGTTGTATCTAGTATCAGGATTTTACTATACTTTACTTAGAAATTGGTAATGTATAAATGTAGCTATATTATGCAAAATAAAAAATCTTGTGCATAATATGAAATGCAATATTCAGTGTCCACTGACGTGCAAAATCAATAAACATATTGCAATAATAAGTGGGAAAAGTTGATGCGTCTGATTGGGGATATTAAAACCAGCGGCAGGCGGCTGAGTTCCGAGGGAGCATCCATATTTCGCGTCTCAACGATCAAAGCGGAACATGCCACAACAAACGCGCACTTTAATATCAGTTGCACCGTTTAACCTCCACACACTCGAGGAGCAAACTACTACATAACTACAACGAATATAATTACAAGCTAGACAAGAGAGAAACATACTTGTCATATAACACATATAACATTTTCCTAAGAGTTAGTAGAGATTCAAACAAATGTTTCACACACTTGTCAAGTATTAGTAAGTAATTGCCATTATCTAGAATATTTTTCAGAATTCCAAGTGTAAAATGCTTTTGTTCCTTGAAATAAAACTTGATATTCTTTGGCGGCAATCGAGTTTTTGTGGGATTCCTTCTTTTAGCATAATAATCTATTCCTAATTCGGCATTAGGACGCGTGGTGTCTCTGGCGGCCCGCAACGTTGGAGCTATGACAATGATGATGTTGCATGCTTGCTAGAGTGCTCGGTTGCACACTTCATGTCTACTTATAAATAAATTTATATCAAATAAATAATGCGTAATCTTTTATGCAAAAATATAATTAGGACAAAAATTATGGTAAAGATAATTTTTAAGCAAAAGGATATAGAGGATACATGTGGGCCATTGAAGAAAAGAAACTAATTAAAATTAAGGAAATATTAAATGAAACACTGTAGGAAAAGTATTGATTTTATTTATATAGCTAGAATAAATAGGAATCATTCGTATTTTTTTATAATGTTTAGACAGAAAGGAGTTTCAATGAAACCAAAACTTAAAAATGTTTATGATGTTAACAAATATGATTTAATTTCTCTTATCTGAAGATCAAATCAAAACATCTTCCACATATGTTAACGTATGTGGAAAATGTTATTTTTATGACAATAATATGAACCAGCTATTCATACATATTTTCACATATTTTAGAAATGGATGCAATTAACATTCCCACCTGAAAAAAACTGAACCCATTACAAAAAAGGAATACCTTCTGAACACAAAATGCTTTTTCATAAACCTGTCAACCTTACAAAATCCTCAAACAATCCTAGATTCATAATTTGGTGCATATTCTATGACTTTGTACAAAATGAACGATTTTACTCAAATCATTTTAAACAAGTTCGTTAGTTTTACTCTATCTATATCTAAAATTGTTTTTCATTTAAACCCCGAAATCTGTATACGAGCTTGAGCACTAAAATATGAACAATATATAATAATGTATATGCAGAACACGAATCTATTCAAAATAGTTTAAGCAAAATTTGAAATTAAAAAATATGCAACAAGCTGAAACTTTAGTGCATACAATGAACACTTAGTTATAATTATACCGAAAGCTTTTGTTTCAGAAGGCTATGGAAATAATAAGCTATTGTACCAACATTAACAATACAATTTCAAAGACAAATAGTAACTAATCCATAAATAGAACAGTATTAGATCATTATAACAGGTAACCATTAAAACCGTTATAGTATTTTCAAACAAATTGATAGATATATACCAAAACAATAATTTTACGATCGTCTGATTCAAATTCTTTCATCCAAAGAATTTAATCAACATATCACATAAAATACGATAACAGTTTTTTCATTACTTACTAATTTAATTAAGGATATGGCTGATTCGAATTAGTCAAATTCAATAAATTAAATATTTATACAGAGCAGATGTTATGTGGGTGAAGATTAGGTTTCTTTTATTTTGAAATAATATTGAAATGTTAAGTACTAAAGTTAAACTTAGGGAATGTTTTCTTTTGAGAGAAATTAGTATTTTAATTAAGCTTCGAATTTGGCTCGTAGAACCTAAATGTTGATCAAACATCTTAGTACTCTATTCCAAGAATACTATGAACGCACAATCCGGTCATGTTACCATCAAATAGTATAAGAAGTCGATCTGGACACCTAATCCTAAAAGGCACTTAAATGCTTTAAAAATAAAGAGCATTTTTGCATTTTGACATTCTGTGTCCGGGATTATGATACATTATCAATATTCTACTACTTCTAAAACCCTAGATTACAATTTTTAATTATTTATTTCAGAGAATGGTTGAGCTCTTCGCATTATATTCTTACTTAGCTCTCACAATTTATTGATATAGGTATCTGTGTATATATATATCGTTAGAAGTTAAGGAGATGAGCAATAATTGAATTTAAAAATAATATTTCAGGCTAGCGCCTATGTTACCAGTGTTGCGATACGAGCCAAATGCCATATCTAAATAAACGAAATGAAAAACTAAGGGACCTACGGTAGCGACACATGTATTCGCTTAATATTGACAAAATTTATGACTTTTCATTTAGTGCTGTGAACTACATTTGTTATAGGCTATTGTCAACAAGGTAGCTCTGGTTTCTTTACAGATATCTTGGTTGCAAGACTGGTTGTACGTCCTAATGAAATAGAACAATCATAAACCTCTTAACGATGATTATTCAGTATAAAAAACTAACAATGATCGCTATCTTTAATAATGACATACTCGGATGGTAAAATAAATCTTTTACAGCTTTTTCTAACAACGGTATGCCTTGAACTTCTGTCGATTTTTCTGTTTATTTACTATATTAATTTAAGAAGGTACTAAGATACAAAGTAATTGTACAAACACAACATATTTCGTATAAACTTAACCTAAATCTGTAAATTATCGCATAGTATTACAAATTAATGTAACAGTATCACTCTTACTATCTTAATCTAAATACCGTTGTACTAAAAAGTAACATATTATTATAGATATTGTATTGTTTATTATACATGCATATGCTTAATACAATCACATCACATTAAATAAGAACTCCTTACATGTTTTTGAGAATGACAATAACCAATCACAGATTTAAATTTTCTTTTAAAAAACTAAATGAATGAGACACATAACTTGGGCATATAACAATCTTAAGAATGTACGTAAGTAAATTGTGTGTCTGCACGCGTTCCAAAACAAATTAATCAATTTAAAACTGCTTTATGATTTTTCCAATCACTGAACGATATATTTTTCTATATAACATTTACTGACGTAAATGAATACCCTCATTAACAACATCAAATCATTCATTAAAGCCTTTTGCTATATTTAAGCATAAGTAAATATAATCAAATGGCATACAAAATAGTTGAAACGATTGAATAGAAAAAACAATATGTTGACAAAACAAAACTTTCATGTAATTTGGAAAATGATAATCCACTTTAATAAGACTAAACTCTGTTCAAAATTCATTAGACGTTTAAGATAACATTTTTGCTTTTGATTTAAGTTGAATACGTTGGTTGAATGATAAATGACAACTGCAGTAAATTTTAGTTTTGTTTTTAATGCCGTTCTTTATGCCCATGGAATGAGAGATTTGGATTAAAATCGGTTGAAAATACAACAAAAAGATATCTTTAAACGTCTTACCATATCTTGAATAGAGTACTACGTACCATTTTGCTCAATACACTGTACATTTATTTAATGTTAACCTACTAATACTAAGCGCCTGTTTCACCTTTACATTGATAAACCGATGTGGTGCATAAAGCATACAAGTAACGATCAATATTCAAATACATTTGGACATCTGGTTCATGGTGTCTATTAAAACAATGTGAAACAGGCCCTAAACCTAACACATAAACCTATTGAAGACGTCTCTTCTTAGGAGTAGGCATATCTGTGTGTTCAGTAAGGTTATTAAAAACATAGTCTGAAATAGCTTTTAAATAAGCTGGGAGAGATCTGGTTAAGGTGGCCATGCGATGGACAAGGTCGGTAAACTGTGAGCGAAAGTAGCGAGCCGTCGCCAATACAACCCCCGCGCACATGTGCAAGTTGTGGATAGTCACACTGTCTGGATCTACAAAGTAAAGTAATCAATTGTTATTAAATCTGAGATCCTATCTAGTAAGCCAGTCTGGTTTTGGGTATTAGGTATAAAAATACGATACACTTAAATCACCTTTTTATAAAATCACGATCAAATTGCAAATTTATTACGGAATCTTTCCATTGGATATAGTGGCTTTATATGTAGATATCTAAGTTACTGTTTCAAGTTAAAAGCCTGACTTTTTATAACTCATACAACGCCTATGACATGATGTGTGCATTGAAAAAATACTCGACAAAGTAATTCACACTTACTGCGTCTTGAGGCCGTCGATACCGGGTTTCCAGCCGGGTTGCGAGTCACCCAGCCCTTCATCTGTAACTCCAACACGTCCCGGTAGAATTCCGTTATATTTGTTATCAGCCCTACTGCCTCCAAAATTGACCGCCGCACCAGCCCCACCTGAGTCGCTAGGAATTCCGATATTTCTAGGCTTGTCCATAGCGGCAATGTAAAATCTAGAAAAGCAACAATGTCTGAATAAACAACACCGAGAAATAAATCCAATCCTCGAATCCCTAATAACCGCCAAAAGACACCGCACTTGCAACCCTTTCTATGATATTGCTGGTATCCATAGAGAGCGCCGATAGTTAATCGAAAGATGTTTTTTGGTTTTATGTGATGAGTAAGGTTCTTTGTTCTTCTTCTCTTCTTTTCTGTTGTTCTTCTCTTTAAGTACTTAAAAATCACTAAGAAGAAAGTACTCACTTATAGTTCGAAAAACATGGAATTCCATGGCCACTATGTCCTCTCTGCTAAGGTCGATGCCCTCCTTCAAGAGAGCGGAGCGCACCAAAGTCGCGGTGAGCGGTGCCATCAAATCCTGCATCTTGGCCGTCAGCTGTATGCATGAGACGGCCAGCAGGACGAACCTGCCAGCCAGCCTGGTTTTGTATGCATCCCATTCTTCAGTATCTGTCATGATAGAACTGACTGATTACATTATCCTGTAAATACAGCAAACGTAGATATTTTCAACACATTTTATATTTGACTAGCTAATCTCGTACGGTTTCACCCGCTGCTCGGCTTCATTTAGTCGTAGCGTGACGTTTTATAGCCTATAGTACTCGGGAACGTTGGACCTATTTATCAGTGAAAGAATTTTCGAAGTCCGACCAGCGGTGGTTCCAAAGATTTACAAACTTACAAATAATAATAATATTGGTATAGGCAACAAGTCAAATTCTTTACTTTTATCAAAAATAATTACGTTCTATTCGGTTTTTGGTTTTGCACCACGAAATTGTCCATAGCCGATGTTTTCATTGGTATTACATCGATCGATACATCTATGTATGTATTTTTATGGTAGGTACATTATAATAATATAAAAATTAAAGTGTGGGAAAGCCGGAACGGATCTAAATCCCAAAACCCTAATCCCAAATAGGTGGACACTACACTCGTAACTGTTCCGTTGTTGCGGGTGTCCATGGGGGGCGTTAATTGCTTTCCACCAGGTTATAAGCATGCTCGTTGGCTATGACATAAAAAAAATTAAAAGACAATCTTATTTAATATGCATAACGGGCGGTCTTGTCGCTAAATGCGATTACTTTCAGACAATCTTTGAAAAGAGCCTGTGATCAGGATTCGGGGGACAAGGTCATCAAATGTAAGCGCATGTTCTTGTAAGTGATAATATCTGGTTTATGGTAGGTAAAAGAATATTTTTAATAATAATACGTTAACATGAAACTACAAGGAGAAGGTGGGACTTGCTTATACGCGTGTCGCCTTTTCACAAAATTTTGTTCTCGTTGATAAATAGATTCACACATAAAACTTGGTAAGCTGAATTATGAAAACATGTTACACTATTTATTGGGTTTTATAAACATTTTACGCTTACGTTGTACAGTTTTTGGTACATTTTTTTTATTGTACGTTAAATACTTTTATCTATACCTACAGCTTACACTACAGAAACAAGTTAAGTAAACGCTCGTAAAATTGTTCCTACTTCATATACATACGACCTAGCTTGTATTACTGAATAAAAAAACAAACGGATTATATGTATCATCTCAATAACCCGATTCCTACTTTGAAAGTCCCAAAGCACGGACAAAGATAAACAACAAATTATACTATGCTACATAATACCTGAAGCAGTCCGATTTTGAACTCGAATAATTTTGTGGCGTGAAATAATTCATTTCTAATTAGCTATATCGACACATCACGATTTTATCATAACCTTGTAACACTAAGCCTATCGTAAAATCAAAGTTAAGTAATATAACAAACAATAATATCGTTAAATATATTTACTGCGTGATTGTTGGAAGAATAGTTCTATTTTCCGTGATATGTATTGCTCCAGAAGCCTACAAGAGCTGCCAGGCACTCCTTTAGCTCCGACACCAAGAACTCCACTTATAGCCCAAACTAGTCTTCGAGCGTTCGACTGCAGGAGTAGCACCGGCCAGCGGGCATATTCTTTTACTGCGAATTTGGTGGAAAAACACATTTGTGAAACACTTAAACAAAGATGTATTTCATTTAACAGCAATCAATTTTACAACTTACAAAAATCATCTAAAATTAAATCAATATGCTTGTATTCCTTACCTTCCTCTTGGTATTCCTTGCACAATATCTCAATCCATTCAACATCAGTGGAACTCGCCATTTCCATATAATTAGCCATTTTAAAACAGTCCCACCTCGAAATAGGATAATTAGAAGATCTTAATTCACACAGCCAACGTAGTTGTAAACTTTTATTTGTTACCCACATTTGTTTTATTTTTGATTGTTGTTTACTCGGCGCCATCCCATTACAACTTATTAGACGACCATAAACAATTACGCATGACTTTAAATTGAAGTTGTCAAATCTTTAGCGTCTTCATTTAAAAATAAATATGTAAACTTTTTTTAAAATACTTTTAGTAAATTAAAAATTTGTTTTGAATAACAATTTAAAAAAAATAATTTAAATTGTGTGACATTGAATTAAACATAAAAAAACTTAAATGAAAATATTTTTTATATCTGGCTGTATTTAATGGCGATTTCGTTTTTTTCTTCCTTTTGCGTCAAGGCTGGCGATACCTTTTAAAACATGTTCGAATTTCAAAATTATGCCGTGAGTGCGACAGCAATACAGCATTCTACTTTTAAAATTTTAAGTGAAAATAAATATTTGATCCTATTTCATGCTTTTGAATTGATGTTTTATATTTTTAGATTATTTGGAACTTGTGAAGTTGCCAAAGGGGGATTTCATAAGCAACAAATATTATATCAACATGCAGAACACAAATTACATATTGACAAAGTAGTAAGTCGATTGACTTACCATTACGCTTAGTTCTAGCCCTGGTGTTGTTTTTATCTACGTAAAACGAATAAAGATGCCGTCGGATGTAGTGAAAAATCATCATTCTGAAACAAAAGTTAATAAACTTTTTCAGTTACCCTTAATTTAGGTATTATTATAGATTGAACGTGCTTGTTTTAGATACATTTAGTATAAAATAATTATTATTCAATATATTATCCGCTGCCAATAAATAGTGGAAACTTTTTTGATTGAATAATGGAAACTAGTCACTTCGAAGAAAATGGTTAAAAAAAAGATAACTACACAATTACATTTGTAGAATAAAAATATATCTTTTAAAATCGAACTTATTTTTAGTAATTCACGACATTTTTATTATATAACTACCTATTTAATTTTATTCTGAGTTCAAAATTTAAAAAATTTAACTATATTTTCTTGCAGCTTGCCTATAAAATAAAATTTCTCAAATTTGACCAAATAGCTACACAATATAACATGTGTAGCAAAATAAATGGTTTTAAATGTAGGTATAAGGAACCATAGGAACTGAATGCTAGACAATATCGTGTGAGCTCATCTTTACATGAAAGCTGTCCTGACGGCTCTGAAATCCAAGGAACTTATTAATAGTAACGCTGTTATTTTTAATGTCTTTTGAAAAACAATTTATAACATTAGAAACGTAGTTTTTTCTTTTTGTACGATTTCAAATACTTTTGACGATACATTGAAATATCGTATGAAGCATTGACCTCCTTAAACTTAAATTCATTTTATGAGTGTCTTGTATTGTTATCTTATCCAAAAAATAAATAAAAAATTACGGGTCGTGGATGTTTTTAAATGTAACTGACAGACTAGATAGTTTATTAATTTTCGCAATCTGTCTATATCTTCGTGCTCTGCGGAATTCAGGTGAATGTCTTCACTTTAACTGAATGTTTTCCATAGTTTACATCGTACGTGTATCATCAATACGTTATTCCATAATTTTCTAAACACCGTATTTATGCTTACTTAACCTGCGTTATACAAAACAATGTCCGAATAATAGTGGAATTCCGATAGTGACTACATTGGTTGGTTTGGCACATGACAACTATGTAAGTACGTCTTTTGTGTTATTTTAACCATAAGTTTGCATTGATATTAAGTGCCTAAATTCAGATTGCAGCAATTCAAATCGATAGTCATTTTTCTTGTTCAAGGTTCAAATCGGAGAGCTGCATTTTGAGCTGGAATGCAACCTACTGCAGTGCCGCAGTGTGGCGTTGGTACTACCTCGTAGTGGTGTGTGTGTGCGTGACCAGACATACGAGCTCATACTCAGAACATAATAAAAGCAAAATAAGTAAAATAGTCGAGTGGAAAAGCGAGAGCACAGGGGCGTGGCGCCAGAAAGGCGGTATATTTTTCTCGTAACTCCGCCCAGCGAAAGTACTGAGTCCCGCCCTCACGCCATTACCTCGGAATTCACACTTAAATCGACACAGATATCTGCATTGAAATAGTATATTGTTATATGCAGCAGAATATTTTCAAATCCTTCGAGAATACGGTCGCTCACAGGCCCATCGAGAAATTATAGAGGGCCGTTACTCTTGAGTACCGATATTTACTTGGAAGATTTTATATCTAAATCACAATTACACTTATCTTATCTAATAATAAAATTGTCCCACAGGAAACCGACGTGAATTAACGTTTATATTATATGATTGAGCCTGCTTACTTGATACGCAATCTCCCCACCACCCCCATTCCGTATAGGAATGGCAACGCACTTGTAATAACTCCTGTATTTCCTTCATTTTCATACTGACAACGCTTACAAGTCAAGAATTTTGTGCAAAATTGCTTTGCCAGTGTCCCCTTTCTGGCAGTTACTTGTAGTTAAACAACACTATTTTTTCCTAAGTAATGATTCCAGTTTATTTTCATACAACCAGTTTACATCTACCCCGGTCCAGATGTAGACAGCGAACTATGTTTATTTTTTTAAATCGCCTTGCGATGTCACACCCTGGTATCTGGTCCTGTGTCGTGGGTGCGTTTAAAAACATACGAATTCACATAAACCAGACCATATCACCTCCAGTTATTGCGGGAACAACAATTTGTCAATCACACAAACAGTTTTTCCCGCACGACATCCGGTTGCCCAACCACCGCGTCAACTGTGCAGTCATATTGCCAAGAAATTATGGTAATCATACACCCATAAAGCATTCTCAACACTGGACCAACAATTTGTTCATTGTTTCTTTACTGTTATCTTGAAATATTGTTTTAAAATATTCAACTAAGAAGAAATAAATATCCGTTATTATGTGTACTTTAACATCTAATAGATCAATACGATCCTAGCTGAAAAAAAAATAAAAGTATATGCGGCAAAAACTTACGCTTTCTTTTCTTTTCTGAAAGTTGCTGACATGATGTATATTAGTAGTGACTAGGCGTTAGTGTCAGGTCAACGGTGAGGGTCGGACAAATTACCCCCGACATCAACATCCGTCACGCGGATCGAACGTCGATGCCACGCAACCGCCGCCGCCGGCCGGCGGTCCGCTGCCGTACCCGCCGGCTTTGTGGTTACACAACTCAATTTCTATACAGGCTCCTACCATCACCAACATTTTATATCCGAATCTTATGATAACCATGCTAGTCAACAGAAGATACCTTATTTAATGTTAAAATCTTTCTTTAAATATTTCGAAGCTTTTAAACATAAAGATTAGTAATAGTTTAATACCATCTCAAAATGAAACGTATTAGGACCCATTTACAAAAGAATTTCATATATATGGTTATAGACTAACAGATAAAATAGGCGCCCCCAAACACTATTAAATTGTTGAAGGGATTTTTCCGTCAACAACTGATATGTAAATACCTCGAAACTTAAAGGTTCGGAAAATTCTCATATTTATATTATCGTTGTTATTTATTTTCTCTGGTGAGCCGTAAAATACGGCTGTATGGAAATGTGGGGATTTGCAGCGTGTTATAGTTTGACAAGATGACAGTTATACAAAAAGGCCCGGTACGCGGGAGCCGCGGAGGGTTATGAAAGTACACCCGCGCTTGAGATGTCCTGTTAACTCGTTTATTGCCATCTCCCATTCTTTATGTTACGCATTTCTCCCTTTCTGATATCATCACATTTTATTGAATTATAAAGGTCTGCAGATCTTGTAGTCACGAAAACGTCTCAAGTAACGAGATCGTAATATTCTATTTACTATGCAACTTAAAGGTAAGTTTCGTATCACGTAAAACCTTTTTTAAGTGTTCGGGTATTTTCAATATTGAATGAAGAATGCAATGCCGGTGTAAGACGCGGCACGGCGCGACGGATAGTTTTCTTTGTTCATCGAAGCGTACATAATAACATGTTAAACGATATGGGACGCTACTGAACGGTTGATGTAACTTGTGAACAACCGTGTAGTTTTAGTACGTACATGATTATTTTTCCGGTATGCATCATTTTGTTTACACGAATTTGCATATTGGTAGGAGGTATATATAGTGTACTTTCCATAAAAAATTCAAACGTTAAAGAATTCACGATCACCGCACGTTGTCCAACAAGATCTGATAAGACTACCTAAGCATCCTCAATGACATATGCTTAAAACTGATTCGAGTCAACGCATTCCAAACTTTGTTATAAACGCCATAGGGTGCGGACTGGCGCGTACAGATATAAATTTACACACGTATGAATTGCACATTTAGTTGCGAGGGTGCGAAAACTTGTTGTTATCTTGAACGAGGCCAATTTCAGCAAATGGATACTAAGTCCTAACTTGCGTATCTTTTTTTATGTCGTGTGGAGCTTGTGTTCTTTTAAAATATCGACATATCTGTGGTACGAGGCGATGTGTGCGCGACACGCAATTTAGAAAGGATTTGCTTTACGGCCATTCACTAACGGGAGCATCGTACGCTGGAGCTGACGATCAATTCATATTACTATGTAATTTAAAGGTAATAAGTTTTATATGAGCTTTAAATCCTTAAATAAGATTTATAAAGACCTAGCTAAATAAGTCACGCACATTTATAGTTCTTAATATTTTATATCATCTAGATTATTGGACAAGTGTTTGGGCATAAACTATAAAATTATAAACCTTTAAAATAAAACGCAACTCGTTGAAAATAATGGAAATCCACCGAACACTCGAGAGTGGCTTATACAAACCCATTGTAACAGACTAGATCAATTGGGGATCGGTTAAAACGTAAATGAATTGAATGGTGCTATGAAGAACGTTTGTGGGCAAGGATCGTCCGGATTGTGTCGGGTGGCGTGTCGCGTCGGTCGTGTTGGCCGGTTCGCGCCT